TATTTTCTGTAGCTTGTACTTTTGGTAAAACATTCTTTGAGAGTATTAAGGCAACCATTTGACAATCATTCAAATAATCCCAGTCAAATTTTGTAAGCATCATGGATTTCCTGTTACTTCTGATATTCTTTTCCTTCTATTAAGAAAGGAGTGGGAGGATCCCTAGGTGGAAAAGATATCCTTGCTAATGATTGAAACTTATCACTTAAAGATTTTAATTTGCTTTAGTACTTTAGAGACAGCTTTTCAATGTTTTGGAGGAAAACCTGGACATCTGTGAGATCATTTAATTTTTCTTATTTATTGTAATTTATTCCAGGATCATTTCCAAAATAAATTTTCTTTCTTGTTTCCTTATTTAGGCATTTACATTGTTTGCTACACATTTCCTGGAACTGTGTCATATAGATGCTTTGTATCCCAATGTGGAAAATTACCATTTTGAAGTGCAACATGTGAGAAGCAGTGCTGGAAGTAAGGAGAAAATTGCTTACACTTACACGCTCGCTAAAGGATATACAGAGGAAAAGAACTATGGTAATGGATTCCACTGTGACTTTAACTTAGTAAAGATTATATAAGATACTATTTCAGTTATTGGGCATCTAACAATATTTTTCTTCTGACAGATTTCTGCTGAGTTTGTATCTCTGTCATAGAGTAACAACTGCAGATCTGTGATATGTTTCAAATACTTGTGTGTTTTAAGTAACCATGTAGTGAGATAGAAGTTTGGGGCAGTATGAAGAACTTAGATGAAATTTCATAGTGAAAAAAAACATTTAGTAATGTTGGTAGGTACTTGATTCACCTCTTAAGTGAGATGAGCCATTCTGAGCACACGGTACTTGAGTTGATTTAATCTCTGCTTATGAAAGCAAGTGAAAGTTCTGGAGAGGTGTGAATGCTGAGGTTTGTGTTATGTAAAACTCTCTTATGTGTCTGCCATAAGTAATGATATATCAGTTAAATAGCAGCCTGGCCCTTTTTGATTAGCAAAAAGGAATCAAGTTTCTTTAAAAAAGGACAGGAATTTTACTGTGTATCAACCTAAGGTTATTTTGAGAGGTTCCACTAAAGCATCAGTGTTTTCAGGAAAGTGGGTTTACTTCTCTTCTAACTTCAGAGTACATCATACTGAAGATTGTACAGATTGACAGATTATGGCTCAATAAAGAAATGAGTGAGTGACAATAAGGCACAACCACGTGTTTTAAAGAGCTACAGAAATCTGTATGTTTCCAAATACTAGAATCTGAAGTTGGATCCTTTATTTAGGTGACATTTAATCAATAGGAAGTTAGCTACACATGACTTTTGCAAGCTAGTGGTAACTGAGGACTACAAATTATTCCAGTCAAGCTTCAATTAACTGGACTTAAAACATTTCTATATCAGAATTCCAGAATAAGTTTCTTTAGCTTTGGCAGCACAAGCTCAATTTCAGATGCTACACCACCACTAACTCAGAAAAATCATGTGTTTAGAGAGTATTCTCAGACAACAGGAGGCCGTTAGTAACTTAGTGTTGGTGTCTTGGCTTTACCTTACTTGAGCAAAGTTACATTCTAAGAAAGAGTGCAAGGGCTTTTCTTGACCCTTTTTAGTTTTTAACTGTACAGTATTAAAGCACCCGATGAAGTACAGAATTTCCTCAGAACAGCCAGGGCCACAGGCAAAGGAAAAAGTAAAAAATCATGTTCGGGCAGAAAAAGTATTTTACATCTCTTTCTTACCCCGAGTATCTGACCGTTTGGCTGCTGGCAACAGAGTAGAAGTTGGAACATGACATCCATATCCACTGGATGTCTGGATTTAATGGAGAGCGCATGTAGCACAACCTCAGTATTTTCCCGCTTGCCAAATTAAAAAACTAAACAGAGAAAGCTGTTAACACCAGTGTGCCATTTTATTCCTTTAACCTTATGTGTCTCATCCTGCCCAGTTATGGTATTACCAGCAGTAACTTCATGTGGAAGTGTATCTTAGAGGTAGCATTAGAAGAAAGCAGACATTTTATTTTGTAACTCTCAAACCCATATTGTTTATTTAAAAAAAAAAAAAAAAAGGAAAAAAGGGGCAGAGAAAATGTATATCAAAATTATTTTAATAAAAATGAAAACTTCACCCTTTAAAAAATAGGCTAAGTTAATTCTGGCAGACATAGTGTGGAAGGTAGGAAAAAAAAATCACATCAAAAATCCTGATTTGTGTTTTATATGTTTAGGATTAAAAGCTGCAGAAGTTTCTTCCCTACCATCATCTGTAATTTTGGATGCAAAGGAAATCACAAATCGTATTGCAAAACAAATTTTGGTATGTAGTAGAAAATGTTAATACTGCAATTCACAGTTTTTATAAAACTCAAATATATTTTAAGTTTCTGAAAGGATATAGGATAAGCACTACCTATGGTTTTATGAAAATAGATTTCATTAAAATTTGTATTTCTGGAACCAGTTATAAAAGATTCTGTTAGGTGACAACACAAAGCAGCCCTTCGGGTTAAGGAGCATTACATGCAGTGTTGGTGTGCAAACCAAGAATCAGGAGATCAGAAATAGGCTGGAAAGTAGCAAACACTAGTATTTTAATAATAGAACATAATTGATTTAGTATTTTAATGCACGTGTATGTTTTTAAGAACAGCACAGGCAGAAGAGCACTCCTGAGGTGATGAAACAGAGAGCTGTATACCATTTAGCAATGAGATTGGTTCAGACTGCCAGAAATTCTCGATTGGATCCAGACAGTTTGCGTATATATTTGAAAGGCTTGAAGAAAAAGTATGAAGCCAGTTGTCCTGCACCCGGACAAAATGATGAGCAACAGTAATGTGTAACATAGGCTGTTGCTCTGATTTTTATGACTGCAAGATGATTCCGTTTTTTCCATAGTATTGGAAAACACTGCATTTCACATGTCTTTAAATTCTTAATTCTTAGTCTAAATTATACTCGCTACTGAAAGACCATATCCTTCGTGGCTTTTTTTCCCCAAAACATACCTGAAATAAAAGCATTTACTTTGTATGAGGAATACAGTTCTTTTTGATAATGAGCTATATCCCTTTCATTATTTTAGAGACAAAAAAGTTTTATAATATTTAGTATTTTCTACATGATATATGTGGTATTATAGTTCTTACATCTGATACTGAAGATCTTGCCTAACAAAAAGCAATCTTTGAAACAGATGGTCCACGTGTCTTGTACAGGCAAGCTCTACTTGCACTGTTGAACATGCATCCATAAATCCTGTTGTTCCCTCCTCAAGGAGGGTTCTAGCTCTCTCAATTGTTACGCTTAATCCAACATAACGAAGGCGGTCCAGGACTGCTTCCTCTCCAGAACTGGGCAGTCAGAGCTTTTTTTGTAACACAGTAACAGCAAATTACTGTGGTATTGATACTGTTGATACTTTTTTGTTTAGAAAGTAAGTAACAGGAAATCAATAAAAAGTTGAATAGCCTTCTTCCTTGATTTTTTTTTTTTTAGTACAACTTCATTGAGTGACTGCAGCCATGTATTCCAGCTTGAAGGAATTGATCTTTCCTCACTTCCTTCTAACCAACTTAGGCCAAGAGTTCTTATATCTCTCTATGTGTGTGTATATAATTTATTATACATATATCTATAAAATGGGTAATACACAACAGTGTAATATCTAATTTATAACAACAAATGTATTTTTATATATAGTTATGTATTTCCTTTTTATGTATCTACCTTTGTAAACATACCAGTGCAACAGAATAACATTGGTAGTAGGCGCACTGTGGTTTATTACCTAAGAAGTTTTTTTTTTATTGATTTAAGCTATTACCCACAAGTCCCCTCTCTTCAGGCCTTAAATGTTGCCAAGCGTATCACTCATATCCATCAGTAATACCATATTTGTTGTCTACCCCAGTGAGGATCATCACAGCAAAAAGGATTTTGCGTTCAGGTTTCTTAACAAGAGGAACCAGATGGCAAGGGACATGTGTTTCAGGTTTTATAAAATTTCAAATTTATAAAATCAGAACAGATTTTCAACTTTGTGCTACTGTATTATTACTTACCGCACTGCAAAGTCAGGTACTTGCAAGTGGTATCAAAGACCTAAAGTCTTTTATAGTTCTAGGCATACAGCAGATTTGGATACCCGGTTTAAGTATCAAGAGCTGCTTTGAGGAATTATAAACGGAGAATCCAAAATTGTAACAGACGAGATAGCTGCAGGTGTTGGAGGTCTTTATTGAGATTATAGCACAGATACACTTCTATAGTTACCTTTCCACTTTTATACGATAGTTAAAAATGCTTGCTACAATGCACATATAATTTAGTAACCAAGACAATCCAAAAACTTAACTGCAGTTCAAATAAATAAATAACCTAATGTTTAAGGTTTATATTTTAAAAAGTAAAAGGAACTGTACAATATGAAAATATAACAATACATAAACATTAGACTCTAAAGTTTTGTAGAAATAAAACTGCCATTTCCCATACATAAACAGTGCAAGAAATTAAATTCAGATAAGCCTCTGAACTGGGAATTTAAACAATTCTTAAATTACCATGCAGACATAGCATTTTAAGCCATGCTGGTTTCTATTATAGCATTAATGGTATCCCTTTTATTTGAAAAACCGATAGCCATTAAGCTCACTGTGATAACTGCTGCCAATCCACTCTTTTCTACAGTACATTATACACAGAGGTATTCTGTTGCATTCAAAAAGTAAAATATTATATGTTTCTATGGCAAAAAACCAAACCCAAACCAAACAATATTTTACTTTTTTCCCCTCCAACGTTAGCTTGTTCAAAACAATGTCACATAGTAACACCAGCAACATTTCCCCCAGTTTAGATGAAAAGAAAGAAACAACGCCACACTATATAATGGACCATAATCAAGATGTGGTTACTGCCTAGTCACCTTTAAAGTTCAGAATGTATTACTAAAAAAGTTGAAATTGCGGAGATGTTACAAAGTTTGATCTCTCCTTGAAAAGTGATGAATATAGTAAATCTGAAAAAACAGTGGAAATAATTTATCTTTTATGTGTGTGTGGAAGTAGTTACATACAGACTTCATTAAAGTGTTGTTCAACTTAAGTTTCTATACAAAATTCGCATTGAGGCAAAGACCAAGGAATGCAATTAATACCAAACTGTAAACACGTCATTCATGTTACTCTGAGTGCACATCGACAACATAAGAGTTCTCCTCAGACTTTGGCAACAAGACTACGATAGGTCACAGCAGCATGAGTTCACATGGAAGACTGAAAGCACTGCAAAAGAATATACTAAAAACACCAAGACCTCCTAGAAACCAGAAAAATCTGTGATGAGTGCCCCTCCTCTTGATGAGACACTCTCCCGCTCAACTGCTGCTCTCTCAATGCCTAATTATTATTACTTTGTTTTTACAGTTCTGTAGTCTCAGGTCTCTGTGCTTTAGCTGCATAGGTTGCCTTTGTTTGCACTCTAGCCGTTGTAGGTCCAAAGGGTTACAGTTCTGTCTGCAGAAGATGACAAGAAGGAAAGATCTTGTGTATGCCATCGGCATTGAATAACTTTGTCCTTGTGCTCTCCTACCACCATAAGAGGAAGCTGCTTTGTGAGGTCCCCTGTGGCAGAGAAACAGAAGTCATTAGTCATCTCATGAATTTATATCCCAGCTCTTTGGTTTTTTGGGCTGGGTTTTTTGGTGGTTTTTTTCCTGTTTGTTTAGTAAAGCTTACATATGTATCTCAC